AGGCTACAATATTGGCCATGTTCAGAAATTTTTAAAAAATACTTGCAGTGCGTATTAGCAGCTAAAATTTTGACAGTGGATTTTGTTGTGTGTACTCTTGCAGTGAAAAAAAAAAAATAAGGGCAGGTTTCGACATGTCGGATCGGACCATTCCCTTGTTAGTCCCTTGTACTGCGGCCACTTCTGGCCTGTACCAGCCCCAGATGTTAGGTGAGGGTGATTGTGGAGCAATTGGTGGAATGGAGATTGGCAGGGGAACCGAAGTACTTGGGAAAAACCACTTTGTCCACCACAAATCCCACTTGACCAGACCCGGGATTGAACCCGGGCAGCCGCGGTGGAAAGCCAGTGACTAACCGCTTTAGCTATGGCGCGGCATTGATTCACCCCTAAATAGAACTTAAGTTAAATTGGTCTGTAAACTAAAGCTTGACTCTTTTTAAGTTCTGAATAATTTTAATGATTTTTCTGGTATTGTAAATCTTTGAAGTTTATACTTTCTTACGCGTCTCAAAAGGAGCCGAGATAGTTCGATGGCCGGGGTTCGATTCCTGACAGAGGCAAGAGGTATTTCTCTCCTTCACAGCATCCAGACCAGTTCTGGTACTACCCACCCAATAAGTACCGGTGTCTCTTTCGCCGGGACTTGATGTTAACCATTTATTTTCGCCCAGTGCTGCGGTCAAGAATTGTGGAGCTATACCTCAACTCTCCCATGCGTCTTCATGGCGTGGTGCTTAATTAATTACCTTTAACTTTAGCTTTTACTCGTCCCTCATAACAATGTTCTTCCTATATCATTTGTTCTTATATAATCTCTGACATTGAAGAGCCCGTCACTAAAGCGACAGAAGTTTCGCTGTCATATCTCAATTGGTTCTCCTATTGAGCCCTACTCAGCCCCTTAACCTTCAAATAAGGAGACGGGACATGAATGTGAGGGGTTCAGTAACCCTTGTCTCATCTCGCCACTGTTTCGCTTCGGACGGACGTCTTCTTCTTCTCTTGGCTCTGAGAAGTTCCGCTTGAATTTCTTCTTAAGGCAATGACGTAATACATAACTTCTTATAACTCGACCTTTTTATTTTCCGACCTCGAATTTCGAGACGTTAAGTCCAACTATTCGGAGCGTAAGTCTCACTAACAAACGGTGCGGAGCTGGGCCCTTCTTGAGAAACCGCAAGTCGCTTAGCCACTCAAGAATGTTCCAAAATGTTATAAAAACCCGAAAGTTCATTACCGTGTTCTCAAGAATCGTCCACTGGTTCCAATCAATACCATACATAATACCTCTCTAAGATACATTTTAATATGTTTTATTTAATTTACTTACGTCTTGGTCTTCCTAGTTGTCCCTTTCCTTCCGGCGTTCCCACTAATATCCTATATGCATTCCTCGTCTCCCCCATTCGTGCTACATGCTCTGCCCAATTATCCTCCTTGGCTTGATCATTCTAATTATACTTGGAGAAGAGTACAAGTTATGAAGCTCCTCATTATGCAGTTTTCTCCAACCTCCTGTCACTTCATCTCTCTTCGGTCCAAATTCTCCTCAACACTCTGTTTTCAAACACCCTCAGTCTTTGTTCCTCCCTTAATGTCAGAGACCAAATTTCACACCCACACAAAACAACAGGCAAAATTATAGTTTTGTATATTCTGATTTTTACGTTTTTAGACAGCAGACGAGAAGACAAAAGGTTCTGGACTGAATGGTAGTTTAATCTCCTCTTAATTTCCTCCTGGATCAAATGATTGTTAATTTAATGAGCTCATAAGTTAGGAAATTCGTAGGTCAGGGCAAGTCTGTGTAAGCAGATTCATTTCCGTACAGTTTAAGATTGAATTCTGGATTGCCTACCGCCGAGGCGCTTGGTGACGCAGGGCTTCAGTGTCGATCTCGAAGAATACCGTCTCCTGGGATGTTATGCCGTGTAATCTGGTAGTTTGCCAACGTTTCGGATGAACATATCGCCTCCATTTTCAGGGTCGAAAACTAAGCAGGGCCAACACCAAGAACCACACCTGCAGAACTACTACTACTTCTACTAGAGAACTCCTACCGGACTACACGGCGTCACATCCTAGACACAGTGCCTCCCACAAATCACACACATTAGTCATCCTCTTCTGTTCTTCTTTCACCTCATTTATCTGCTGTTTCCTGTCCATTGTTGCCTCCTGTTTTGCTCCATCTCGTTCCTTGTTGTTTCTCCAAATTCTTGTCTCCCTTTCTGCTTTTCTCATTCCACCTCATGTTTCTTCTTCCTTTTCTTTCTCTCACCTCATTCGTCTATTCATCCTCTTTCATCATCCCCTCTCTCTTCTACTTCCCGCCCTCTTTCCTAGACTTTCTCTTCTACCATCATTCTTCCTTCGTATTTATTCTGTCTTCCTTTTGCTTATCTTTTTTCTTCCACCTCTTTCTTCTCTTTTCTCCCATTTTCCTACATTTCTCCTCTCCTTCTATCCCTCCTGCTATTTCTCTTTCCTTTATGCCCCCTTTCTGCTGAATATTACTGTTTTCTGGGATGTGACACCGATAGACCGACCGATAGTTGCCAACGTTTCGGAGGAGCATGCTGCCTCCATCTTCATTGTAATGGAGGCAGGATGTCGCTGCAAAACGTCGGCAACATACTTCACTTCCACAGGGCCCAAACAGCCAACAGCAGGTTCCTGTGAAAGTATTCAGTAAAAAGGTAAAGTTGCCCTGTGTTTAATTAATTAAGCACCACGCCACTAAGACTTATAGGTGGAGTGGAGGTATAGCTCCACTAGACAGAAGGGAGTGGTCAGTTTCAAGCGCCGGCCGCTTTACCCGCTGGGAAAGATCTCCGGGTACCCATTGGGTGGGTCCCAGAGCGATCCAACCCATAGCCAGTCTCTATACCGACCGAGAACCGGTCAGATGCCATTCCGGAAAAGCTGAGGTTAAGATGAAATTACGAATGGGAGAATTGGTTTACTTGTCGTCACGTGACAGAGGGCTCAAGATTTCTCATTTTCTCAGCAACAGCCGTAGGGAAACGAACTTGGTGTTCATTGTAAATTCTGCGGAATTCTCTTATTTGCACGTGACTTTGAACACCGTCCAACGCAAGCAGGTACACGAATACACGAATTTTCATAGTCAGCAAATATTGCCCTGCGCCTTAAATACTTCCTCCTTTCCAAGAACTGCGAAAATAACACTCTTCTGAAAAAGGTGATTTCAGTTTCATTGACCGTTGCTGGAATTCTGCAGCTTAGTTTTATTTCAGTTCTAGATGATGCATTGCGTAATAAACGTTTAATAGTTTGTTATCATCTAGAAAACGTAATATTTATATTCCTAACTGAAAAGGGGAGCAGCAATTTCCTCCGAAACTTTTGTACCTTTTAACCAGACCACACTGCATCGCATGGGAACCAGGTTAACTCAATCGGTATAATAATTAGACTGGACAACCGATGAATCGTGGTTCGATTCCGGCTAGGGGTAAAGAGATACGAGGGGGAGTCGGTAAACAGTTCAAAATGGATATAAAACGTCAAACAGGTGATGTATCTGAACCCCCCAAAAATTATTTCTCGACATAACCTCCACCAACACTGATACACTAGTCCCATCGCTTTACCAGTGCGTCGAAACCCGCAGCATAGAAGTGTTTTGGCTGTTGTCTCAGCCATTTCCGCACCTAGCGGCCATCATCTGTGACTTTCGAACGTCCTTGAGTGAATTTCTCGACGTAGTTGTTATGCGACAGACATCACCGTAAACATGAAATATTTCTTTATGAATATCCTTTGCGTTGAGTCTTTTTGTCCACAGAAAACATACAACAGAACGCTGCTCTGCGGTATTATACTCCTCAAACACGGTCGCCATTTTGACTACTGAAACCAGCCTCTGAATATGCGCATGCGCGTCTGCTGCCTACAATGTCATGAAGCTGGACTGTGCTGCTACCTAGTGGTACATATACAAAACCTATTACATCCATTACAACTGTTTTACTTCAATTTGTGATCTGTTTACTGACTATCCCTCGTATTTCTTGACTCCATAATGGGCTCTGGGCCCATTCTGCTTTCTATATAAGTGGGTAACTGAAGTTTCTCTCTTTGGGGGTAAAGCTGCAGGGGCGTGAAGCTGACCACTCACCTCCATCCAGTGCCGAATGGTGGAGCTATCCTCAATGGATGGTGCTTAAGTAATTAAGCCAGCAATAACTTTGGCTGTAACTTACAGTGCAACACTGTTGTTATTATGTTAAGTTTAATAGTTTTCAACGAGTAGTTGCATCTGTTCTCATTTGGTCAGCAGACCAGAGGTCATGGAGCGCTGGACGGACTCATGTTTCAGTTACTCATCAGGATAACGCAGCTGCCATATGTAATGCGTGACTTTGTGTTTCGGGAATAGACAGACTCGAGTGTTCCGGCAATCGTTGAAATTTCCATCTTCAGGGTCCATTATTTTGGTTTCTGGTAGATTGCNTGTAATGCGTGACTTTGTGTTTCGGGAATAGACAGACTCGAGTGTTGAGCGATTTTTTTCAAAGTTCCGGCAATCGTTGAAATTTCCATCTTCAGTGTTCATTATTTTGGTTTCTGGTAGATTGCCTTCTCCTAGTGTAATTAGAATGGTCAAGTCAAGGAGGATGAGGTGGGCAGGTCATGTAGCATGAATGGGGAAGACGAGGAATGCGTATAGGATATTGGTGGGAAAGCCAGAAGGAAACAGACCACAGGGAA